GGACAATCTCTGGCCTCAGCTTTCACTCAATTCTAGTAATTTTAGAACTGTTGGAGGGAGTCCACAAAAACATCCAAAGATTGAACTCCCTCTCTGTGACGCTGCCTCTAACAGGACATTGCGCTCTCCTGAATGACTAGGAAAGAAAGCAGCAAGCATCTTTCTTGCCTTACTGCTGAAGCTGTTTGTTTTGGCCAGGATTAAGAGTAAAGCTGTTATCTTTGGAAGAGCAGAATGGATAATTAGTGCAGTTCGAGCTCCATTTGCCCTCAGAGTAAAACCTGCATGCCCAAGAGCTATTGTTTAACTTTATGAAGCTATCTGGAGTCCGGCCAAGCTAACAATATGAAGATGTCTTTCATATTTGGATCCTTTAGCTTCAACAATCTTGTATTATGCATTAATAAATGACTGCTGTAGCCTAAATGTTTGGGAATGTATGTCCAAAAGTTGTTTTTTTTTCTGCTTTTGACTCCAGCAAATCAAAAATACACTAACTGCAAAATCTTCTTTCTTCAGCTTTTTGACTTTAATATTTCACAATTTTATTAGTACCAATAGATGGAGACTAGACATTTTCCCCCTCTGTGTGTCACTATTCAGTATATTCCAGGCTGCCAGTGAAGCTTTAAGTAAAGTAATCTGCCCAGAATCCCTTTAGGAATCCTAGTGGGTTTTGTTTTAACAAGCTCACAGTAAGACACACATGACCTTTTTGTGGCCCTCTTTTAGTAGTTCACTGGAGTCGGTGTAAGTCTGCATTAAAGCTTCTTTAACTAAGCTACAGGCTAGAGAGATGAGTCCAGCCCCCAAGAAGTTCTTTCGGCTATTCTCCCTCCTTTATATTTGTCTCGATGTTTTTTTTCTCTCCCTTTTGTGTATCTGCATTTCTTTTGTTTTTCTGTTTCTATTGGATTTCTCTTTTATTAGAGAGTGTTATTTAAGTTCCCGTACAAGTCAGCCTGTTTGGAGACATTCCAGATGGTAGAGTTGAGCATTTGTGTGTCTGTGAACCGTAAACTATATGAAAACATGGACTTGGCGCCATCCATATGTTTATGAAGGGACATATTTAGTCCCGGATTTGGATTGATCACTCGTCACCATGTTTGTCAGTTACTGGATCCAGAAAACCCAAATTTGGGTGAGGGCTGCAGCTGGGGTGGAGTAGATGATAAATGTGTGAGCAGCAAAAGCAAAGATTGCGATGGGCTAAAACAACTTGTCAAGCAAACATACCCCAAGCATACCCTCTTTACCCCCTTAAATGTACCATGTGGAATTTCCATTATATACAAACACAATTTTAGGTATTTAGTAGTTCAGGATGTATATATTTTCAGCAAAACTCACTGTATGCATCATTATGGTCTGACAGAAATTTTGAATGTTTCTTACTTCATAATATTTTAAAGATATTTTTTTTTTTGGAAAGCCTTGGGTGTTGAAACATGAATTCCTTCTGCTTGAATATTGCTACCTTTTTATAGTGCATTATTGTCACTGTTACGGCCCCCTGCTGTTGGCAGAAAGGCTTATCCTGTCAACCCCCATGATCATGGCATTTATGTGCATTGCATGTTTTTTTACACCAAAATACACAAAGAATGCAGGAGCCTGCCAATAAAAACATTGCTTTACTGCACTACCAGTATTTAAAACACCACCAGTATCTATATTGCCCTAGTTATGAACAACCTATTTTTTTGAAAGCCGTTGAATATTCTGAAAGTATCTTCAGTGCTGACCGACAGCTAGCATCTAGTAACGCTCCTCGACATCCTTTTGCAAATGAGACTAAGTTCACCTTTGCATGTGCTTGTTTAATGCTGCAAATAGCCAATTAAGGAAGGTCATCAGACTTGTTGCATTCAGAATCGCCCCTCCACACACGCACTCCTCCACACATGTCACTCTCTGTTGATTCCTGAAAGCTTCCTCCACCCCCACCGCCCAGGCGTTATTGGTATATTTAGGCGTTTCTACTCGTTGCTCAGTCCAATAGGTTCCAAATGTCTGAACTCCATTTAGAGAAATGGTGCATGTCTGCTCAGAGAGAGAGAGAGGGAGGGGGTGGCTGAAGATGGAGAGATAGACAGCGAGTTATAGGAAGATTAAGAGTTGGGGGGGAGAGAGAGACTGAGTGGTGAAGTGTAGAGAGAGAGTGAGAGATGAGAGATAAAGAGAGCCGTAGGGTACCAGTCACCATCAAGTTCTGTCACCAGCAAACCTCACCAGGGGGCTCTGTGCACACGCATACACATACAATATATATACTGACAGAAAGAATGTGCAATGTAATGCAAAAACCCATATGGATACATACACAGATTGAGACAACATGGACGTACAGAAACACATGTTTGCATACATAAGATGAGACACACACATGCACACTTGTATTATGCAAAGAAAATCCACCCATACACATATTGCCAGCAGGGGAGGAAGCACACACAATTATGTACAGCACAGAGCACCAGTAATAATGGGACGAAACAAGTATCCAGGCACATTTTAAAATTATTCATATTCACACATGGATCAACTATTCATACACACACTCACACACACTGACTCACTGGTGTTTTAACACTGTGTCCTGACACACCAAAGTAAACCAAGGATTCCACCTGCCTCTGCTGCACAGCTACTGGAAGCAAATATCCAGGGGACACCACACTGTGAAACACATTATTCACAGCTCACACAGCCCCCTGCAGGGAACACCAGTAGACACACACACACACACACACACACACACACACACACACACACACACACACAGATACACACACAGATCCACACAAACATATACATAAGCGTGCACACAGAGCAGGGTGATGGCTGTCTTGACAATCATACAGTGATCCAGTCTAAAAGCATCACCATCCTCATTGCCATCCCTGTCTCAGTCGTCAATATTCGCCACAGTAGCTCACAGAAAAGTCTAGACACTCATTAAGCAAGGCGAAGGAAGGTTTCAGTATTCTGTGGCTCTATCCAGTTGTTTTGTGTTTGACTTGTTCTGCTACATTGTACGGTTGGAAAGCTGGAAAGCATTTGGAAGTCATAGAAAAATAGATCCAGTACAGCAGGCTTTTCTTTGAAACACTGCAAGGTTGTTTTTTTATTTTATAGCATCAAACCTCAAAGGAAACTCCACCCTGGGATATTCCTCCACTGTTAAATATGTTTCATTTGTGAAGTTTAAAAGAATCGAATTGTCTACTGAAGAATACAATTTTGACAGTCAGAGTGACATGCATGAATTTGTAGCTGTCATTAAAAAGTTGAGCCTATGGGCATATAAAAATAGCTAGCAAGGCCACTTGATAAGAACAGTGAGCCATGTGTATTCACAAAGAAATGCACTCAGTATTTTCAAAAATGTGGGGTACACAATGTCAAAATGGTATTCTTGATGTTGCTAATGTAATTTATAAAGTAGCATTCAGTTAGGTTTTTGTTTTGATAACTCACATGATCACGCTGCCAAAACTTAAGTTGTTTACATGATTGCATACACTGATATTTCTCCACAATTATCTTGTTTACATGGCTGTCCAGAGGGAGATGTGGAAATATCTTTTATGAAATTCAACAAAACATATAACGTACAGTCCAGCTATATCACATTTTGCAATTAAAACTGCTTTTTCCAGACGAGTTGGAATAAAGTGAGGGCACCCAGGCGCTGCCCCTGGACTGGCTTTGTGTGTACAACTTCTGTCGAGTTGCACCTCTCTTCCCACCTTTGGTCCGTGTGCTATGTGTAGGTCATAAAGATACCAAACAGATGGGCAAAGTGCATTTTGAGGTCAGGAAAATGCAAACATGTGTTCTGTAGCTGCACTGCTTTGTGGTATTTTGATGCTATTATGAGTGGAGAAATGTGTATACAACGGATAGTTCCTTTTTAGTAGTTTTAATTACAAATAACTATAATTTTAGAGTCTTAGTTTTCTTGCTGTGTGTCCCAACAGAATGAGGCCTAATCTGTTAACTAGCAATTTCATGTTAGAATAAATTAGCCACAGTTACATCAAGCAGATGAGGGGGACTTGACCTCACAACCAGCTACTCTGCTGAATAAAGCCAGAAAAGGACCTAATCCACCCACTGCTTCTAATATCCAATCAGCCCATGTGAATAGCGGCAAAATAGATGCTAATAACTTGCTATCACAGAGCCCACGAGGCTGATGGCGAAGCTTGACACACTGCGACACACTAACAATACAGTCATTTAAACGGCGGTCAGCGAGGTCGCCGTTTATCAGAGAATGCACAGAGGCAGCAAAGGCACAGAAACACACACACACACACACACACACACAAACATGCACAGTCTGTCTTGCTCTGTCTCTCCTCACATGCACATACAGTCCAATTATAGAGAGAGGACGAGGCCTGGGCCCTGCGCTCCCAGTGACCTTGTTCCAGGACAGATTGATGAGGCGCTGTATCGCCCCAGCAGATCAAATAACTCCTTTCTGGCCCTCATTACCAGGACTAGGGGAGATCTGCAAGTGCTCGACTTAGCTAGTGTAGCATGCTCACACACTGTATTGGTACCACAGAGGCTGTTGTTTTTGACCCATTCCTGTATAAATAAGAAGAGAGGTTATTGAACCTTTAAATTAAATATTCCATGTGTTGCCATCTGCTAAAAAAGTCACAGTTGTGTGAATGGTGCAGAAGATAATTGGATAAGTTGTTGTCAGATGATACTGTTTGTTGTTCTTTCCACCCTCCCTTAACTGGCAATTTGGCAGTTGAAGGGGAGGCATGGCATCATTTGGTCTTGTTCATTTCCTGGCAGAGACCAGAGTGCTGGAGTTTGATTTGGCTGGGTAGTTTTGACAAATGGGTTACAGAATTTCGTAAGCAAAATATGACTCTTACTTCTTTCTTTTTAGTAAATCCCACTGAACTTTGACAATAAATGTAATCTTCTCATGTAAATGTAAACTCCTCGTTCTTATCTGTATTCCACAGTTCCTCCCCAGTTTGCCAAGCGGCCAGCCAACATTTATGCCCATGAGTCCATGGATATCGTCTTTGAGTGTGAGGTTTCAGGCTCACCAGCTCCCACTGTCAAATGGGTCAAGAATGGAGATGCTGTCATCCCCAGTGACTACTTCAAAATAATTGTAAGTTAATTTGGCACTGAAGTGGTGCCTTTGTAGCTGTACTATCATTACCTGCATTATTACAGTGTATCATTAGATCATAATCTGAGTCTGAGATTGGTTAAAATGCTTCTTGTAACATTGTTAACACCTTGTCTTTGTTTTTCTATTTCTTTCCCTTTCTTCTTGTTTTGTAGAAGGAGCACAACTTGCAGGTTCTGGGTCTGGTCAAGTCAGATGAGGGTTTCTATCAGTGCCTTGCAGAAAACGATGCAGGCAACATCCAGTCCAGCGCACAGCTCATCATCTTAGATCACGGTACGACACTCACCAGGACCACACACAAGTGTTCCAGTCAGATGTGTTAGTGAAAGTGATAATCTCAAAGATTTTCAATTAAATAAATGAAGAGGTAACACAATCGTGATTGAGCCTATGACCCACTGACATTCCCCGGCGAACATCACAAGCAGCGCACAGTTAGTGACATGTCCAGCAGCGGTTGGTCCACCGGAGAGGGCGGAGCTAACCAACCGACTCGCTCTTTAATTCGCTTGTGTGTGAAACAGTGTACTTTTACCCGTCTTTGCTAGCGTGGTGAGTTAACGGGTACTGTAGTTGAACAAACGAAGAAAAGATGAATGACTGCAGACGACATCACACAGGCGACACTCTTTGGATCTTTGGGTACTAAGGTCCAAAAGCACACCTGCAATTATCGCTTACCGCCATAGGTGCAGCCAAAAGAATGAAGTGGAGATCTTTGAGATTGTTACTTTAACTAGATAAAACTGATTTCAGTGATGAAATAAATGTCAAGTATGACTCAGAAATGAACCATTTCTGATCAGTTTTGCTCAGACAGCCAGGCACTATATTTGGAAATACAAGCATCTGTTCACACAGGCATTTGAACATCAGACATTACAACAGTCTGAACACAATGCTCTTTGTGATTATTACTTAGCTTTTAACAGCCTCATATGAATCACAGTTCTGGGAGCTGGAGTTGTTGAATGGGAACAACATAATCTTTTTTTTTTTTTTTTATCTCTGTTAACATGCCAAAATGCTTAAATGTTAATATCGAGTACGGGAGTAGATACCTGTCGCTCAGAAAATTCCAGTTTAATGTTTGAGCTTTTTTAGAAAGAAGGATAAAAAAAGATCTCTTTTTCAACAAAGGCTTGTAGAACATGAGCTAGCTTGGTACTGGGGTGGGTCTTCTGCTCTCTATACAGTTTGCCCCATTTGTAAACACCTAGATGGATCCTAGAGGCTGTGCACATCTGTGAAGGTGTGAGGAGTGAGAGTGTGTAGTGAACAGTGAAATGAAACCACTGGGATCTTGTTAAACCAGAGGTGACTCAAAGGGAACAGAATTGTATCTGGGGCAAACGATGCTTGGTTTGCACACAGTCCATTCCACATCTAGTGTTACAGAAATGTTGTGAGGTTCTAGGAGAGCTGCTGGACACAATGCCTGTGCCTTGATGCAGCACCCTTAGATATGTAATGGCCCATCTTTTAGCAGGGATTTTACCTAAGCGCGAACCCATATGCTGGTAAAGTGAGAGTGCCTGTATAGTTGCAGCATAGTCTTTCTTGTTGTACATTTCCCTTTATAGCCAAACGAGAGGTCTGAACACTAATTCCCAGCGTGGAGCTGCTGAGTGCAGAATACAACAAAAGCAGACACCAAGGACAGTGGCTAGAAGCACACAAAGTGCCTGAAAATAGAAACAAATGTGGGAAAACAGTGTTAACATTCTAGTTCTTGAGGTAATTTTGTTTCATTACCTCTGATCGTTACAGAAAATGTAATACAACATAGATTTAAGATCATTTGCACAGTCATAATAATCATAGTCTAACCCACAGGGCAAGTAAAACCCTCTCCACAAAACAAGAAAGGAACAAAGAATTCAAGATGATAAACAAGACACAATTTAACTGAAAAAGCATAATCTGAATAAAACAACACGGTGGAAAATGGAGAAACAATAAAACGGTGAAGAGGAATGAAGGTAAACAATCCTAACACAGCAGAAATCATTACTTTACTGTTGACTCAGACTCTCCCGCTTTATTGAGGGAGATGGCAAAATGTAATCAAGCGTGAACTCCCCTCTTGAAGCAGGTGGCTAATGGATTAGCATAGAAGTGTCCAACCGGTGGCCCCCCAGCTGTGTCACCCCCTCTGATTGAAGGACATGAAGTCAGAAATAATGATGACCTGCAGCTCATTGTGTATTTGTGTTTGACACCATTGATAAGGGCTTTGCCACTTTACATGGCCCCAAGTCGTCGTCTTTGTTGTTTGAGTTGATGATAAATGGGATGAATTACTGAGGCAGCTGGCCTTGTACACAGGGTCTGCCCTAAGCGGGGCTTTTGAAGAAATTAATCTCTGTTTAATCCATAAATATCACAAAGAATCTTTTCCTTTCTTTTCTTTTCTGAGTGTGTACCTCTGTCTTGGTCACAGTAATGCTAATCCAAACACACTTAACCACCAGAAAGTTTTCTAGTTTCCTGTTTATTCATCAGTTTATTATCCGGTCATCATCGGAGTCTTAAATTATGGAGCTAGAAATAAGCCAAGTTGCAGTGGCACTGTTTATTTTTTCTTGCTTCACTGTGTCAAAGTAATTTCCTCTCAAAGGTGCAGTGGTGAATCAATGAGAACACATTTGAAATCTGCTCATTTTCTACAGCTATTAGTGTTTTGTTGGGTACGGCTCTGTGACGTGAAGTTGAAATGAATCTCTTTAAGTTCAATTACAGTGGTATCTCTCTCCTACTTGTATTCTTCTCTCTTTCCTCCTGTGCTGCTCAGTATGGACACATTCAATTCTAAAGCCATCTGCCACCTTTCTCGCCAGTTCTTCTCACTTTCTCTCTCCTTGTCTTTCACAGCCACCTGCTCTCTATGTTAATCCAACACACTGGGCTTTGTGTTAATTGTGCTGCCTTGAATATTTCCCCTATACGGCTGCCCCCACACTGCTGGGCATCTTTGTCCACTCCTATCCCACTCTTACTCAAACATCCCTCCTGCTCTTTGCTGCCCCTGTGTGTTTCGCCTCAGTCAGGTATCTCGCTCACACCTGCCAGGCTTGAATGGTCCTGAAACGGGGCCAAGAAAACACCCTGTCTGTCTGTCGGCTGCCTTACAGTCGGGGGAGATAAGCCAGGGACTTGCCACGGGGATAAAGTTGTCTTCACCCGGCACAGAAATCAATGGGGGTGAACTGCATCTAAACACTCAGCGGCTGCAAGTTGGCTAATATTCATTAGTGCTCATAATCTTTGCATCTTGACCCTGCCAGCTGCAGTTAAATGTGGCTCCACTGATGATTCCCATTGTGGGTGTTTGGAATGGAAAAAAGGTCAGCTGTTAGCCCATGTATAGTATCTTGATAGTTATTTATAGCAATATGTACTGTATCAATACTCTTGGCTTTTAACTCCAGTAGATAACATGGACAGTATATATGTGGACAAACTGCTGCAGTCCACATTATTTTACTTTGCTTCAGCAATCTTAGAACCATGGCAAACAGATTTTTGGGGGAGTGGAGGTCAAAAATAGGACCACAGATTGCAGTCTCGAACAATTTTCCTGGACATTCCACAGCCATGTGCAATATGGGTCAACTAGTTGCAAACAGATGTGGGTAAATAGGAGCACAAATGCCAAAAGTGGACCTCAAGGAGACCTAATTATGCAGAATAATGCAGGCAAAGTGCCTCCTAATGTCCCTTGTAAAACTGCCACATTCAGACTTGTTGTCTTTTGGTAATGCTGAAAGTTTGTGTATTTGTGCTAGTTTCTGTTGTAAGTCACAATGTTTTGCCAAAGAGAAGGAAATAAATTATTTAATTTGCTATGACTTTTCCCACTGTCAAATGCAAAATAGTTCCTAACATATAATTATATGGTGTTTTTTTGTTGTTTTCAGAAACAAAAGATAGATTTTAAGCTTATTTAAGTGCATTGTGTTAACTCCAGCCCACATGTGCTGTAGTTGGAACCAATAAAGATCAGAACATGTTCTCACTAAGTTTGATTAGACACATGCATACTATAATGGAGGTTTAGAGGTTTCGTCAAATTCACAGCAGATTTTCCCGTCCTTCTCGCACTAAACTATAAATACAATCACTAATGGCCATCACAAATGATTCCCTGTTGGCATTTTCGATATGCCCACATGTAGACCTTATTGTCAAAATGATCGTGAGGGTGGTTAGTCAGCTGCAGAGGATATGCTATTTAAGGGATTATCGTCAAATGTCATCTATAGACAATAAGCAGCAACAATTTGCGGTCTCTTCCAGGCACATGATTATGTGACGCGTTTATGCATGATACCGTGGTAGGCGGCAATTACAGCTTGAAAAGGAAATGGGTCACGTTGTTCAACTTTGATGTTGACATCTGTGACCCACGCCTAGACAAAGCACTTGTTTATGTGATTGTCATCTTTCCATATACAGTACAAAGACTAGGACTGTGTTTGAAGTTTCATAAGGTGGCACATTAAAATGTATACCTGAGTTTTGTAGTGTGGTTGCTTTTTGAGTAGTTCTTAAAGATTCAGAGCCGAGCCAAAACATATATTTCATTTTTAGGTTAGCTGAAGTTGTTTCCTTCTGGAAGTGGAGAGCTGCATATAGCATTTACATTTTAGAATCAGACATGCATAAGAGAAAAGAAAAGCCACTGCATGTTTTTTAGCATTATGTATTCTCACTTTAACAGTCGCAAACCCAAGGCCACCTACCAGGCTATGAACTCTTACTAGATGCGCCCACTTGTCAAAAATGGCAAGTTTAAGATTCTCAAGCACCTAAAAGCTTAATATGAAAAATGCAGACAGATCTGCATTTAATGTTGGCAAACAAAAGAGAAGTGGATGCACTCACTTTGCTGTTTGCCCTTAAGTGTGTGTTTTTTTTTAATGTTTGCATAAATTCAAGAGATGCACTTCCATTTGCATGTGAATACTTATTTTTGCTCCTTCCATATGCTGTGCTGGCTTCAATATGGAAATGCTCCTCTGTCTGAGTTTGTCTGTCTCTCCATCTCTCCTCTCTTCTCCTCTGCATCCCCACTGCTCACATGAATAATGTTTTGACATTTTGCCTCCTAGTGCCCAAGCCAAGTACTTCACTAGAGAGCCTGAAAGCTTGTTTGGATGTACAAGCTCTGAGCTTTCATGTTGTTTTAGCCACGACTTTGTGAGTGAATTTTACCTAGATAAATTAAATGGAGACATTTCAATGAATTCCTAACCAATGTCAGGTAAGAG